CCAGCACTTTGGGAGGCCAAGGCGGGTGGATCACGAGGTCAAGAGATCGAGACCATCCTGGTCAACATGGTGAAACCCCGTCTGTACTAAAAATACAAAAAATTAGCTGGGCATGGTGGCACATGCTTGTAATCCCAGCTACTCAGGAGGCTGAGGCAGGAGAATTGCCTGAACCCAGGAGGCGGAGGTTGCGGCGAGCTGAGATCGCGCCATTGCACTCCAGCCTGGATAACAAGAGCGAAACTCCGTCTCAAAAAAAAAAAAAAAAGAAAAAGAAAAAGAAAAAGGAAGAGATCGGGAGCTGCATGGTTAGGCTACATTGAGGAAATGTTCCTCTTATGGATCCACAGAAGAAAAATGACTTTTAGAGCCATGTGGCTTGCAATTATCTCTAGCAAGAGTCTAGCTCCCTTGGCCCCACCGTGTGTCTGGGAAAAGACAGTGAAAACATTTCCTTGAGAGGTGAAAACTACAAGGAAGCTACCAGCTCACTGTGCACAGGTGAGAAAATGTCATGGTAAAGGAGCACCACGTGTTGATTTTAACAGCTTTTTCTAACTGTTCTGTCACACATTACAGAAAAACTGCCCCCCACCCTCCAAAAAAAAAAGTCATAAGAAAAATCAGATTCATAATAGAAAGTATACATCCAAAGTAGGCAAAAAATACTGCTTGTTTTCATAACTGTTTGTTTTCAAAATATGCCAAATAATTTCACTATAAAATACCTCGATTTGCATGTGACTTAGTACTTACTTCATATTAACCAGATTCAGCTGCTTTGATAAATCTGTGTATTTTAGAAACATCTGTTTTTAAAAAATATTTTTAAGCCAGAAGATAAACCTTACATTTGTGCATCCATGTGTAAAGCAATCCTGCCTGGCACTATGGAGCCAAGATACTAAAAGATTAATAACATAATTTTTAAAAGCTCCAGTTACAGACTAACACATATTTTCTCAAATTTTCTAGGCTATACCACTGACTTGTATTAATGCAATCTGAATTTTCAGATATAAGTATCAGTCAATGGTTGGTTGTTACAATTTAAATAACTTCAAAATATTGGCCATTAAATCATAAGTAAAATTATTCTTAGAGCTGGATTATTATAAGTGGAGTACCCTAACTTTTCTTAGTTCATACTCTGCAAATTGACTCTAACATTCATAATCATGCCCTTTTATGTGCTTTAAGCGGACATACTGACTTTGCAGTCTATACTTTGTAAGAGAGCAGGTAATTCTAGCACAGAAGAAACGATGTAATGCGGAACTGGGGAGGACTTCAGTGGCACTACTCCATTTTTATTGATCCAGACTGTTGCTTTCAATCCTGCATTGAGGCCTCCTTGGATGTCGGTTTCTAATGTGTCACCGACCATCACACAGTCCCCAGGTTGTACTCCGAGAAGATTGCAGCAGTAATAAAATATGGACGGTGCTGGTTTCTCCTCTCTCTGCTCTCCACCTACAACAACAGCGTCAAAATAGGACTGACAGGCACAAGCCTCAATCTTCTCCCTCTGGGTCTGTTTGTCCCCGTTTGTTAATAGAAGTAGGCGGACCTCCTTTCGAAGTTCAGTGAGCATGGCTTTGACATCTTCTGCTAGTGTCATATGCTGTAAACGGGTAGACTTCCAAAGGAAGTAACATTCTTCAGCCAATTTTCTATTGGCGGCACCACCTTTTGTTTCCTGGATTGCTTCTTCCCAATGTGAAGTCCTTAGATCAGTAATGCATGTATTATAAGGATGAAAACATTCCTTGCTGAGTTTTACTTGAACTTTATCACAGATGATTTTAGCCTCTTCTTTATAATGGTATTTTGATTGTAAGAGCTTTATCACCTAAATAATGGAAAACAACTCCATTAACACACTGCATATCTTTAATAGTCATGCCCTAGGAAGCTGTGATCCTACAAGTGGCTGAGAGATTACAACTCCACTCCTCTGGTTTTTGCTTTTTTTTTTTTTTTTTTTTTTTTTTTTGAGATGGAGTCTTGCTCTGTCACCCAGGCTGGAGTTCAGTGGCATGATCTCGGCTCACTGCAACCTCTGCCTCCCGGGTTCAAGCAATTCTCCTGCCTCAGCCTTCTGAGCAGCTGGGACTACAGGTGCACACCACTATGCCCAGTTAATTTTTTGGATTTTTAGTAGAGACGGGGTTTCACCATATTGGCCAGGCTGGTCTCGAACTCCTGACCTCATGATCCACCTGCCTCGGCCTCCCAAAGTGCTGGGATTACAGGCGTGAGCCACTGTGCCTGGCCCACTCCTCTGCTTTAAAGCAGGTATTAACCACACCATTTCTGGTGGGAATCGGCCTTATTTTTAGAGACAAGGTGAAAGTTCTCCCAACCTCTCCAGAACTCACTTATTTTTGAAAGCCAATTTCTTCATATATAGCTAATAACAATCCTTTGTTTGGCAGTTTAGAGTTCAACATCTTTCACTCTGGTCACAAAGACATGAAAATAAAACTTGTGCTTATTGGGCTGTGCATGGTGGCTCATGCCTGTAATCCCCGCACTTTGGAAGGCTGAAGTGGCAGGATCGCTTGAGCTTAGGGGGTTCAGGACCAGCCTGGGTAACATAGCAAGTCCCCATCTCAAAAAAACAAAAAAACCTTTGTATTTATTTTTGGTAAAACATTTAAAATTTCTGACAACCACTAATTAGACTATTCTCAGAAAAAATAACATTTAGTTCATATAATCTTTTCTCATCTACAGTCACTTCACATTTTGAAGACCTAAATGGACTAACATCTAGAATGGGATCCAATTCTGTCCTTTTATTTTTTTTAGACAGTCTCATTCTGTAGCTTAGGCTGGAGTGCAGTGGTACCATCTTGGCTCACTGCAACCTCCACCTCCCAGGCTCAAGGGATTCTCCTCCCTCAGCCTCCGGAGTAGCTAGGATTACAGGCGCCTGCCACCACGCCTGGTTAATTTTTGTTTTTAGTAGAGACAGGGTTTCATCATGTTGGCCAGGGTGGTCTCAAACTCCTGACCTCAAGTGATCTGCCTGCCTCGGCCTCCAAAGTGCTGGGATTACAGGCATGAGAGCCACCGTGCGTGCTCAATTCTGTACCTTTTTTTTTGGATACAGAGTTTCGCTCCGTCACCCAGGCTGGAGTGCAGTGGTGCGATCTCAGCTCACTGTAACTTCTGTCTCCCGGGTTCAAGTGATTCTCCTGCCTCAGCCTCCTGAATAACTGGGACTACAAGTGCCCGCCACCATGTCTGGCTAATTTTTGTATTTTTAGTAGAGGCGGGTTTTACCATGTTGGCCAGGCTGGCTAGAACTCTTGACCTCAGGTGATCATCCTACCTTGGTCTCCCAAAGTGCTGGGATTATAGGTATGAGCCACTGTGCCTGGCTCCAATTCTGTACTTTGAGTTAAGTACTCCCTCTCTCATGTTCCCAAGGCTCTTTATGTGTGCTTTTTATAATACTAATCCATTTGGCCTATCTTCTAACTTTTCCTAAAAGCCCTAACGTGACAAGCATTGTACCATATACTTAGCACATTATTTCTAATCTTTTCTACAATCCTGCAAGACAGCTCCCTGTTTGAGATGAGGCAGGGAAGTGTAGAACTTAATAACTTGCCCATCTAACTTGCATCCACACACCTGCGTACTTCCAAAGCCACATGCTTGCCTTTGCACTATGTCTTAGGCTCTGGAGACTGGCCCTTGTCCTCGGGGCATTATCTGGTGGGGAATATAATATACAACCACTACAAATGATGGTGCATGAGGGGGTGGTGCCATGAGAGCAGTTTAAACAAGCTGTGGGAAGAATATGGAAGTCATTCCACAGGGTAGCTGGCAGAGAGTCACACTGAGACAAGGAATAAGCAAGCAGAAAAAGTGGGTATGGGAAGAGAAGAAAATCCTTCCAGACAAAGGAACAGCATGAATAAAGGCCAAAAGTTTAAAATTTTGTGGGAAAAGCAAGAAGCTGAGTTGAGCCCAAATGGAGGCATGTGAGGGAGGCTGCCAAGAGATGGAGCTGGGGAGCCTGTTTGTGTTTGTGAAGTCTTGAACCCCATGCTGTAGCAGGTGCTGAAGAAATCCCCTTGACACACACTATATGTACTGGTCAGCGGCTTCCCACTCCAGGTATGGGCCTCTCTAATTGTGGGCTTTATTTGGCTACACACAAGGGCATCTATACACACAGGATGGGGCTAAAAATTGTTGCCCTGGGAGCAGCCTTCAACCAATGTTGGGTAGAAATTGGCGAATAAATATCACAGCTTCCTTGCCCCTTGGGGAGCACAACTGAACGCTGTTCTGTGTACTGTCTCCCAGAGCTGTTCTGTGAACAGCTCCTCCAGCTGCTCACAGCAGTAACCTGCTCATTAAGCTGCTCTAACCTGTACTGAACTCCTTCCCCTTCCTGTCTCCCCGACCCCTTCATGTGTGTCCCGGGATCACCTCATGAACTGCCTGCACTGGAAGTCCCTGTGTTCAGGAAGCATCTGAGGAAAGTCAAGCATGACAGGCAATGCTGCATCTTTGAAACGTACCCAGCTAGGGCTAAAATATATCTGTGGGAACTAGGGAATAAGCAGTATGCTACTCACACACCAGAAACTCAACTCACCTATTGAGAAAGAAACGCACATGTTTTTCTTCCCTCAGAGTTAAATAATCACAACAAAGGAAAAATAATTTTTTTTTTTTTTTTGGAAATGGGGTCTCACTGTCACTCAGACGCAGCCTGGAGTGCAGTAGAGGAATGATGATAGTTCACCACAGCCTCAAACTCCCAGGCTCATCTCCCTTCATCCCCTGAGTATCTAGGACTACAAGTGCACACCACCATACCTAGCTAATAATTTTTTTGTTGTTGTTAGAGACAGGGGTCTTGCTGTATTGCCCAGGAGTGTCTTTAACTCCTGGCCTCAAGCAATGCTCCTGCCTTGGCCTTCCAAAGTGCTGGGATTACAGGTGTAAGCCACTGTGCCTGGCTGAAAGGAAAATATTTTTTGAGGTATTTGTGCTAATTGGAAAATGCATCAGAAGACTTATCCATATCAGAAAAAGAAATATTTAAAAAAAAGAATAAAGAAAAGAAAATATAATCATTAAGAAAAATCTTATCTGCCCAAGAAAAATATACTAGCCCTAGGAATTTTAGGTAGAGGCAAAACATCGCAAATTTTTGCTTTATAAATTTCTATTAACAAACAAAGCTTTTTCAGTTTCCATGTTTATCTCACCATCTTTGCTAGCAATATCAATTGAATGCGACTGACAGGAGCTCTAAAATTTCAGCAACCCTACAGTTGCAAAGGACACATGCCTCTAGGGCACCACAGGGCTTGAGCTCAAATAGGGGCTGGCTCATACCAGTAAACACAGAGCTCCCAATATAGACCCAATTTCCTGTTACTGCAAGTGGCACTTCACTAAATACATTATTGAGGCTCTGAAAAAGCAGGATTTGCTCACCTTAAATGGGAGATGTTTGTAAAGGCATGGTATGCCACTCCCAAGTTTCAAAATCTCTTCCTATTCTATCCCTTCAATCAACTTCCCCATTTTGTCACACAGCAACTAATTACAGATTGATTTGGGACAACAAGTGGCATTTTAACAATATTAACATTTTTAGGAAAAAAGGTTATTAGCATTCACTCATTACAGCTCTCTAACTTGGAGGCATGATGATACTTTGTGTGTGATTGGTAAGGCAAGCCTGAAAAGATTTTGGTATAAAGGGCCCACCAGGTGCTCGCTGGCCTGAAGAAAGGGGCCCTGCTCTGACAGAGGGGCGGGCTATCAGTAGATTATTAATAAACTCAAACTTCATCTACTTCAAAACTCTATCTTAAGGCTCTCTCTGAACATATACAAAAAGGAAACTCTATTCTTCTACTGTCTGCTTTCTAGACCCAGAACTAAAGTTAGTATCATCAATACTTTAGTTTAGCTAACTGATTTTAAAAGACTTTCGAGGGCTTAGTTTGGGAACCATCTAATACTTTAAGAAAAGTGTATTCTGAATACTAATCATTTGGATGTGAAATGTATGGCAGGAGCACCTGACAGCATTAACTTACGCACACCCTGAGAATGACCCTGCGGTCTATGAGGAATGTGTATCTGGGTTCTGAGATAATGAGTCCAAGAGTGACCAATCCAGAGATTCATTCTTTATCCATGAGGAAGATCTGAACCCTGGCCCATCCCATCCTGCAGAGCTCAGGCTGCAGAGGAGATTGAGGTGCTTTGTTTTCCATTAAAGGAAGGTAGCCAGGAGGAGGTTGCTGCGGTTAGGGTGTTAAGTGAAAACGCTATACAGACTGCATTTCTTCTACAAGTGGCTGCCGGTCTGTCCAGCCACCCCCACCGGACGTCTAGTATATAAATTCCCTCAAAAACCCGTTCTCGTTTGCTGACTCCAGGTCTCTTCTTTAGCCTCTTGAACATGGTGCTATCCCTACTGAAATCAATAGGGATCCAGCACAACAGAAGGGGATGAATTCCAAATAAAACTTAATAATTTAAAAACACACTCACAAAGTGAGGACTGCCTGCACACAGCCTAGCAATTCAAGCAGCCCTTCTGTTATTTTTATTTCAAGTCTGTGCTCCAACATCCACTTACTCGAGGAGGCCAAATCTGACCAGTCTGTTTAAAATGTTGATTTGTGCCAGGTGCGGTGGCTCACGCTTGTAATCCCAGCACTTTGGGAGGCCGAGGCAGGAGGATCACTTGAGGTCAGGAGTTCGAGACCAGCCTGACCAACACAGTGAAACCCCATCACTAATAAAAATACAAAAATACAAAAAAAAAATATATAAAAAATAACAAAAATACAAAAAAATATAAAAATTCAAAAATTGAACCTGTAATCCCAGCTACTGAGGAGGCTGAGACAGGAGAATCACTTCAACCTGGGAGGTGGAGGTTGCAGTGAGCTGAGATCGTGCCACTGCACTCCAGCATGGGCAACAGAGCTAGACTCCATATCAAAAAAAAAAAAAAAAATGTTGATTTGTTACCCTCTCCACTTTTTCTATCACATCTATAAATACTTATTACGTTCCTTGACATACCCGCTAAGAAGTAAATTCGCAAATGCAGAAATCTCTTCTGCTTTGTCAAGTTTCTGCAGAAAAGTTCCTCTTGGGTACTTGCCATGAAAAACCAGTCTAAATAGGGAGGAAAAAAAATAACTTCCCTAGGTGATTAGAAAAAGTTGAAGTTGATACATACAGTCAGTATATGACCCCTTCTCCCCAACCCAAGGCAATGGCTGAACCTTTCCCTCTTCCTCCATTCATATATTATTTACAGTGATTTATGAAAGCTGGCATGGTTACTTTTGAATAGCTCAACATCCATGAATGCTATTGTTTCCTTACGTGATAAAGTATTCCTTGTAAAACCAAGAGCACAGTTCGATTCTGCTAATTTATTAGGTTCATTTCTTTTCCTGCTCATTTATTGTTACAGACTAATTACAAAGGAGGCAGTAACAGAACCAAGTCTCAAAGCAAAAATTTGTATCCATCCATCCAGCATTTATTCGACATTTGCCATTTGTCGAATGAGGATAAATAAGACAGCTTGTTCCCTCCCAAGAAGCTCACTATTTAGTCGTAGCCACCTGAGTTGCAAAATTAATTGTAATATCCTTTGACAGGTGCATTAAGAAATATCTGAACAAGACCAGGTGAGGCGGTTCACATCTGTAATCCCAACACTTCGGGAGGCTAAGGCGGGCAGATCACAAGGTCAGGAGTTCAAGACCAGCTTGGCCAACATAGTGAAACGCCATCTCTACTAAAAATACAAAAATGAGCCAGGCGTAGTGGCAGGTGCCTGTAGTCTCAGCTACTCGAGAGACTGAGGCAGGAGATTTGCTTAAACCCAGGAGGCAGAGGTTGCAGTGGGCCGAGACTGCGCCACTGCACTCCAGCCTGGGCAACAGACCGAGACTTTGTCTCAAATTGAAAAACAGAAAAGAAACAAATATCTGAACAAAATGCAGCACTAGTATAAGTGAGAGTGTAAAGACCAGGGAAACATACAATTTAATCTTTGTTTTAAAAATGTTGCTGTGGCAAGAATGTGGAGGACACACTGGATGTGGTAAACCTAAAGGCAAGCCCACAACAACAGTCTCGGTGAGAAATGAGCTGTAATTGAGACATGGCATGGGAAATGTGAAGTGGTGGACAGGCTGAGGAACGAGGGTGAAAGGTGCTATAATTCGCTGAGTGGACACTGCACCCATGGGCTTCCCAAGCATTATAGGGTTATTGAGGAGTAATATAATTCACATTTTATGAAGATATAAGGCTCCGAGTGGTTAACTCGTTAAGGCACTTTCAGCTAGGTTTTGGGAGAGCTGTGATTCATATTAAAATGTCTGATTTTAAAGCCCAACCTGTTGGCCTACAGCAAGAATTGGCCTAAAGCAGTAACTTAATTGAAACGCATAGGGCTTAGCTTGCTAATAACACACAGGTAAATATGCAATGTCCACAGCAAGAGATACTAGAGGCAATATGGCACACGGTGGCATCGCTGAGGCAGAGGCCAACGTTATACAGTAATATAATGTGGAACGCCTCAGTAAAGTCATGAAGACAGACTTAAAAACATTCACGGATTCTGGCAATTTGGGACTGCCTAGTGACCCAGCAAGTCTATTTCAGTCTAGTGAAGATGAAGTGACACTACGATGGATTTAGTAATAAATAGAAGCTAGAGACAAGGAGATAATGGGTATAGATTTCTCCAGGAAAACATGGCTGTCAAGAGAGACAGGTAACATCTACAGCAGGAAGAACAGCCCAAAGGGAGGCGTCCTTTTTACATTAAACAAACAAACAAAACAAAACAAAAAACTATGGCAAACATGAATATGAGGCAGGAGTAGAATGCGCCTAAAAAGAAAACGGATGAGGCAGTGGAAGATCCAGGGACACAAAAACTAACTGAAGCATGAAGAGGACGGGACGCTCAGGTTTGGACGAATTAGCTTTTCAATGCGGGTTTTTCCACATCTGATAAACCCTTTGCTTTCCCCTTAAAGCTGAAGGCAGACAAAGGAAGCCGGGTGGACTGGGGCTGGAGCATGGGAGGATCTGAAGCCGCCTGCACGCGCGTAGAGGAGCGGCTGCCTGGGAGCTGCGCCTAGGGAAGGGCATGCTCTCGCAGTACCGGCTTCCGCTGTGTCACCTCGGAAAGCCACGGGGACCACAACCTTCCGGGGAGGCCAGAGGGAGTTCTGCGGGGACAATTCTCTACAGCAGGGCTGAAGTCCAGGCCCGCCACTGACAGCCGTGTCACTCCTTGGGTCAACACTGGAGCTGACTCTGCCAAGTCTCCTCCCAGCACCCGTGAAGGCCGCGCGGGGGACGCGACCCTCCGGCGAGCTCCGCGCCGACAGCCGGACCCTGGGCGGACCCAGCACCTGGTCTCGCGGCTTTGCTGCCGCCTCCCGCGCCCACGGGCGTCTCCGCCACCGTGGCAGACGTCACGGCGCCCTTCCGCGTCCCGCGCGCCGAGGCACCTGCGAGCAGCCGCCCCGGGGTCCAAGGCTGGGTGGCAAGCGGCGGCCAGGCCAGGGAAAGCAGCCCCGCAGGGCCCGCACGCCTCCAGCCACCCCGCACTCGGACGCTCTGAGTCTCAACAAGCAGGAGCGGCCCCGGGGTGAAAGTGGGGTCAAGGGGACGTGGGCGCGCAGGACGAAGCGGGGCGCACTGACCCCGCCGAGAGGAGCGCCACGGGAGAGGACGTTACCTCCAACATGCCTCTCCTGCTCGCCCCAGCCGTGTCGATGAGCGTGTTGTCCAAGTCAAAGAAAACGGCCCGGACGCGGCTCAACCCCATAGCGCCAGCCGCGCGCGCGACCCGTAGCCGGCCGTCGCCACCCGCGCATGCGCAAGGCGGGCTGCCGGGGAGACGTGGGAGGAGCTGCGAGGTCACCAGACCCTCTCCCGGCGCTGGAGGAACCCCCTCGATCGGTCTCATTCACTGCGCCGCTGAGAACAGCGAGATCCCGCGAGACTCCGCGGGTCTGGTCTCTCAGGAGCCGGGAGGTCGTGCGTCCGCGCCGCTGGGGGCCGCGGCTGTTCAGTCAGTGGTGGTGTCTGGGGTTGCTCAGAAGCGCAGTGCTCTTCCCCGGTGGCCACCAGTTTCTCTCTTTCCTCACTAAACCCCCTCCGGCGCGAGGGACCGTCATCACTGCCCCGAGGGTGGTTGTGCGCGCTGCCAGGCGCAGGGGAGCGGGCCCCCCAGGTGGGCGGTCCGGCGGCGCGGAGACGCCGGCTTTGGCGGGCCCCGTGTCGGCAGTGAGCGCCCGCAGTCCTCGCCTGCGGGTGCGCTCGGGTCACCGTCGGCTTGCGAGCGCCGCGCTCGGCGGGAGGTGGAGCCTGCGCCTTCCGGCCTCGCGGCCTGCGCGCTGGGCTCCTCGCCCGTAGCCCGCAGTTTGCGGCCTTAGCGGGGTGGAATCCCTGTCGCCTGGGCCCGCGCCAGCACGTGCCTGAAGGATGTGACTTGGGTCTTTTACAACCCTCGTTGGGCAGCTGTGCCCGAAGACGGAGTGGCTGCCCCATGTGCTGCCGTCCCTGGTTGCCGTCCTGAAACCTTCGTTCTCAGGTCTTCGCATGCCTCACTCAGCTGTGTTCAGACCCAGCAAGAGGCTGAGGGACGGCGACCCCCTGTTAAATTCGCGGAGAGCTGTAGCGACTCTGCCTCTGGTGCGGGCGGAACGGGGGTCGTGACACCAATCGCTAATCTTTGTCTCTGTTGGGTAGCTTTACCGTAATTTGGATATGTGGTCATCGTTAGCGACCAGAAATGGACGGTCAGGTACTGCAGGGCTACGGGCCAATTACCTGATTTTGTTTAGACAGTGAGCTAAGAGTGGTTTTTCATTTTTAAATTTCTTTTTATTTTTGAGGCAGAGTCTTGCTCTGTCGCCCAGGCTGGAGGGCTGTGGTGCAACCTTGGCTCCCTGCAGCCTCTGCCTCCTGGACTCAAGTGGTCCTTTTACCAGCTTGGCTAATTTTTTTTTTTTTTTTTTTCGTTTTTTTTTTTTGTTGTTGTTGTTGTTTGTTTGTTTGTTTTTGTTTTTTTTAGACAGGAGGTCCCCCCCTGTATTTCCCAGGCTGATCTCAAACTCACAGGCTCAAACAATCCCCTGACGCAGCCTCCCAAAGTGCTGGGATTACAGGCGTGAGCCACCACACCTTGCCTGACAGCTTGAATTCCTTCTAGATTAAATGTCTGGAAACTTCAGGATGTTACAGTTAATATTTGTGGATGAATGAGTCTTTTGTAGCATTTTAAGGTGGTGAGATGTACAGACTCACTACAGCTGGACCTCAGTTAAGCACAGGACTTGAACTGCTATGCTGATAGATTAACACTAGTAGTTAGAGGACGTCTTCAAATTTGCAGGAAGCAAGATCTGAGTAGAAGATTTGTAAGTCATCGTTCTCAGTGGCTCATGGCTGTAATCTTAGCACTTTGGGAGGCTGAGGCAGTCAGATTGCTTCAGGCCAATATTTTGAGACCAGCCATGGCAACATGGTGAGACTCCGTCTTTACAAAAAAATTTGAAAATTAGCTAGGTGTAGGGGTGTGTACCTGTGGTTCCATCTGTTTGGGAGGTTGAGTTTGGAGAATAGCTGGGGCTCAGGAGATTGAGGCTACAGTGAGCTGTGGTCCTGCCTCTGCAATTCAGCCTTGCCGACAGTGAGACCCTGTTTCTTAAAAAAAAAAAAAAAAAAAAAAAAAAAGATTCGTGACTGTGAGACTTGCTCTAGGAAGAAATGGAAATGGAACTGTAGTGATGCTTCTGCATTCTTCTCTCTGCAGAATGGCTCCATTGTTTGGCAGATACTGATGCCCAGCATTGAGCCTGTCCTCTTCTGCCTTAGGGGAAGTCTCCCATGGCCCTTCCCACCCACCTTGCCTGTGCAAGTTCATTACTACTGAACAGCTTCAAGAGCAAGGTGTGCCTTCTGATTTAAAGTTTTCTCAGATTAGGGCATTGCCAGGTTGATAGGGATGAAACAGAAGCAACTGGAGGAGAATCTCAGGCTCCCACATCTACCCAGCTATCAGCAGCCCTCCTTTCTGTTTTTCACTGGATCCCACACTTTCTGAGGAGTATCTTTCGGCAATTCTTTCCTCCTCAGATTTGCATCTTCAAAGTTCTCCCACCGATTGAATCCAGTCCAGTTAGCATTTCACTGACACCACTCACCGAAACTACTTTTTTCAGGCCACCAATGACCTTCACCTTGCTCTCCAATCACCATTCCCTGGCCTCTTCTTACTTGTCCTATCAGTAGCATTTGAACCAGACAGTCATTGTTTTCTCCTAGATGAACTTTTTTTTTCTTTGTTTCTGTTTTTCTTTTTGAAATGGAGTCTTGCTCTGTTGCCTGTTGCTCAGACTGGAGTGCAGTGGTGAGATCCTGGCTTACTGTAACCTCTGCCTCCCGGGTCCAAGCGATTCTTTTGCCTCAGCCTCCCAAGAAGTTGGAATTACAAATGTGAGCCACTGTGTCCAACTGATAAACTTTCTTCACGTGGCTTTTGGGGCACTACACTTTCTTCATTTTCTTCTTGGCTCACTGACTACTCTTCATAATCTCTTTTCTGGTTCCTCCCATTTCCCTGACTTTCTGATATTGGAGTGCCCCAGGGCTGCTTAATTATACTCACTGTTTTGAGGATCTCATTCACGTTTATGACTTTAACTATCATCTGTATGTATATGCTGGTGACTCAAAATTGTAGCTTCCCTGGTTCTTAAGAGTTAGCTCTGTCAGAGGATAGAAAACTAAATACAGCCGATTAATACTGGAAAGGTGGTGAATCACACTCACATTTTAAGAAATGCAAATTCAAACTGTAAGAAGATACCATCTTCATCTATGGGATAAGCAAAATTTTTTTTTTTTTTTTGACGGAGTTTCGCTCTTGTTGCCCAGGCTGGAGTGCAATGGCACGATCTCGGCTCACCACAACCTCCGTCTCCTGGGTTCAGGCAATTCTCCTGCTTCAGCCTCCTAAGTAGCTGGGATTACAGGCACGTGCCACCATGCCCAGCTAATTTTTTGTATTTTTAGTAGAGACGGGGTTTCACCATGTTGACCAGGATGGTCTCGATCTCTTGACCTTGTGATCCACCCACCTCGGCCTCCCAAAGTGCTGGGATTACAGGCTTGAGCCACCGCGCCCGGCCCTGGGTAAGCAAAAGTTTAACGTTTAATGGTCAGAGCTGGTGACCATATAGGAAAACAGGCCCTTATGTATTGGTGGAGGGAATGTAAATTGGTGCAGCCTACTTTGAGAATAATTTGGCATAATCTATCCCTTCAACAATCATTCCCATTGCTAGTGTGATATTGTTGTACTGGACCGAGAATAGAAAGTTAGCACCAAGATAAAAGTATGCCAGATTGCAGGGTCATTTATTATGCCGGCGACCACAGAGGACTCACATCTCTCCAACCTGTGGCATCGAAAGGAGGGTGCCAAGACTTTTTATACCCAAAATCCACCTTGAGAGTGGGGGTGAGGAGTGGGGATGGGGATAAAAAGGTTTCAGACATTCCAAGAGCCAGGGGATTTTGTAATTCACCTCCTGGGTGGAGACGAGGGTGGGGGTCTCTGGACATTCCAAGGGCCAGCAGTTATTGTGAGGAGAATGGGGCAGCCGTTGCAACTTATTTAAAAAACAGTTTTGCATTTTAAAAAGATGGCGTTGCTCAGGTTCTGGCTTTAGGCCAGCACAATATCACAATATTGTGCTGTAGCTGGGCTAGAGTTAGAGCCTGAACTACATCATTTTATAAAAGAAAAAGCTGTTTTTTACAATAAGTTGTAACGGCTGCCCCATTCTCCTCACAATAACTGCTAGCCTTGGCTACTGTAAATAAAACTGCTACTTTGCTCTGCAAACTAGCCGCTATGTAAAGCTGCTTACCTTTTCTTATCAGTAACTGCCAGAATTGCTAGCCTTTGCTTACCGGCAATTGCCAGACTAAGCAGCCCAAGCTAGTTCCATCCTGGCTCCTGTGACTTGTAATAAGTAACTAAGGTCTGTGATTTCCACCTTAACCAGATAATGTGTAAACAAATGTTTATCTTGACTTCTGTAAACCACTTAAGTAACAAACGGAATGACAAAAGTCCCCTGGCCCTTGGAATGTCCGGAGACCCCCACCCTCATCTCTGCCCAGGAGGTAATTTACAGAATCCCCTAACCCTCGGAATGTCTGAAGCCTTTTCATCCCCATCCCCGCTCCTCACCCCCACTCCCAAGATGGTTTTTCGGGTATAAAAAGTCTTGGCACCCCCTTTCGATACCACAGGTTGGAGAGACGTGAGTCCTCTGTGGTCGCCGGCATAATAAATGACCCTGCAATCGCGCATACTTTTGTCTTGGTGCTAACTTTCTACGCTCGGTCCAGTACAACACTAGGAATTTTCCCTTGGAAATACTTTCACAACTTTTACAGGATCAGCAACGTTTTAAATAAAAAGTCAAAAATATTACTTCAGTCTTGTTAGTTCAGTCCATGAAATTAATTTTTGCTTTACTTGATATTCATGAACATATCAGGTCTCATTGAGTCCTGAAAGTTTTTTCCTCTATTCTGATGTCACAGCCTCCAAAGTTACCAGAAATGTGCATTCAGGAGCACCCGTTAAGAATTTTATAGCTGATTATAAAACTACCTTCTAAAGAGGACTGAAACAACAATTGTCCATGGGTGACAGAAGAGTTTTAGGGCAGCCATAGTCAAAGACACAATTGACAAACTTGTTACCTCTGTGGCATGCAATAATTTAACATAATAATTATTACTGATAGCACACACTAAGTCATGTCAAAATTATAGGAGTTTTCCATGATTTTGGAACACATATCAATAATATATTTATACAAATGCAGCCCAAAGAAAACCAAACACCATTTCATATTTGACAATGGTTTTTGTATAATTTCTATACTAAAAAAAAAAAACAAAAAAAACCCAAACAAGTCTTTTTTGGACTTTAAGGAACTTTATACCTTAAAGGATTAATTTAGGTCAGAAAAAGACATGATTTATAATTTATAATCACTTCAGTTAAATGAATGACGTATTTCACAATGACCTGTAATCCTATTTTGTAAAAGGGCAGTTTGGGATAACTTGGGGCCCTGAGCACACGCTCACCTCTTCCTCGATAGTCCCTGGACCTTGAGGAGTTGAATACCTTTAATTTCTGTGTCTCCGGAATGCATTTTCTTTTTATTGGCATCTTTTACCAGGCCTGAAGATGAGGCTTTA